GACCGAATCGGCTTAAAGCCAAGAATCATCGAAAAAATTTATACCAATCTGGTAAAGTCTTTATTTCGCGGCCAATTATTTTGCACTGAATAGGCGATCGCCCAAATTTCGGACAAAAATTGATGGGGTGTAGTTTGAGGGGCTAAAGTGATCACATTTTTGCATGCTCACATTTGTCATCGGTAAAAAGTTTGACGTAAAAACCGAAATATATATTCATCAGATGGCGCCCTTCAAAAGTAGGATAACAAATATCCGTCTCTCCTTATCTTTCCTTCATTGGAAGGAGCATAATGAAGGTCCTTTTACGCTTTTTTGTAATAGACATTCGGAATTCATATTTTTCAAATAACGGTTGGAATTCTACTCGAGGCTGGAACGTTAGTAGATAGCCCTTCGGCTAACTCATAGGATGTCGGAATTTGATCTTCAGTGTAGGTAGCTTGAAAGAAATCATCTTGTCCAGCGTCGGTTAAAATATCAGTTAATTCGTCGAATTTAGTCAACATTTAATAGGTCTAAGTGGGGTTAAAAACGTTAAACCGACTTTTGCCGTTTATAATTTCTTTCAATTTCTATCGCACATATAAGAATTCTCTTCCGTCAAGTCATTTTATCACATCATTTATAACTGAACGAGGTTTGAAGCAGTTTTAAAACCGATGCTCCAAGCTAAAACGATTTCCTTAGTCTGTCAAGGCAAATTAATGCAAGTGAATCAGTTATTTTCACAGATAGTACTTACCACAACCTGCAGCCTTCAGTGCCCAGCTAAGGAAATAATTTTAACCATCTCCTTTCATCCTTTGAGTTTTCAGCAACAAACGTCATATATCAGTCATATCAGGCAGCCAATAAAATGTGGTTGTCTACTTCTGTTCGACTGTCGATTCCGTAGTCATTATCTTCCCCAGGCACGATGAACGGCCAAACGTAAGCGCCGGTGGAAAAGGTCCTTTAAATATTATCAATTATCTAATAATTTTGTCCACTTGTCGTTGGCCGATTTACGTAGGACTTCTATTACACGGTAGCGAGCGCACGACTTTCATTTGTGGAGCGTTATTCTAATGCATGCACTGAGCACCTTTAAACTGACAATTCACTTAGCGTGGAAACTGTGAGAAACTAACCCCCATGAAAATAGAAATATTCTCCACCGTTAGATATGAAATAATGAACAACCGGTAAGCTTATGAGCCAAGTGAGGAAAACTAATGAACTCGCTCCAAGGACAACTGGAGAAGAAGCAAGGAAGTAAAAGAATTTATTTGTTTTCATGTTAATTGTCCTGCAGTAATTCGTTAGAGGGAGGAAGCTTTCTCTTCTCTTTTCCTTTGGACCGTCTCTCAGCCTCCGGGTCCTTTTCGAGTGAGTGGAGACAAGCCTGGGGCGAGTAAAAGGAAGCATGTGAGGATGCCGAGCCTCAAATCGATGCTTTTGAACGATTCTTTCAGATTTCTGGTGGGATTGCAAGGTTTTCATGACAAGGGAATTTATAGGTATTCAGTAGTTTTTTATTTAGATATATGTGTTTTAACCCTTTGAACCCTGGGAGTGACCAGTATTTAATTTCTCCTTACTGCTGAGTCATTCATTAAGACAATGAGAATAAGGGAAATGATCACCAACTTAAGAACCTTTGATTGTTAAACAAATTCTCCTTGTCAGTACCAGAGGAATCGTACAGAGAAAAGTATGGAGAATATAGATACTGATGTTAGGGTGTAGATAGGTTTAAGTTTCAGATAATGCAAAATGATCAAATTCCTTCTGGCATTAATAACAAATCAGAAAGCACAACTCGCACACCAGTATTTTCAATAAGCGACCCTTTGTTTTGGCAAAAACCAGCTTGTTCTGACTTTATCTGATTTATTGGTTCTAAAAAGAACCGGGGTGGCTCTCAAAAGAACCGTTTGTTTGAAAGCTCGGCTGAGCTCAGCTACTCGTCGTCTTCGGCTTCGCTGTCTGTCTCGAACTCGTTGTCAATCCGCTCTTCTGTGTCTTCTGCTTCTTCTTCCTCGTCATCCCAAACCACATCATCTTCAGTTCCATCGAGAGTTCTGCTGATGCCACAGGATTTGAACGATCTCGTTATCAACTCAACTGGGATCTCTCTCCATGCTCGATCGATCCACCACAACACCATCTCTTTACTGGGCGCTCGCTTCTTTCCGGAAGGCGTGTAGGTAAATGGGCCGTTAACCATCCAGGCTTCGTACTGCGCACGGACCTTTGCTTTGAATGGCTTACTGATGCACTTATCCAGGGGCTGAAGAACTGGAGTGAATTACCGGGAATTACGGCGGTATATTGACCATGACTCTCCTTGTAACACATGAAGGGTTAAAGAAGGCAACCACATTAGATTTAATCCTAATAACATCAATGGAGATAACTGAATTGAAATTCCTTACGTGTGGATGCCTTACTATCAAAAAGCATGGTAGCCGATAACAAAGTGAGCCTATTAAGGGAACAACTTCCAGTTCTCAGAATAATAATGAGGATCAAAATGCACCAATGACAGCGCACCAAAACACTAACAATAACAAGGTGTTACAAATAGCCACACATCAACTTTCAACTTACTCACCTGACGAAGCATAGCAGTTGCAGCATCACAATCAATACACAGTTGATTAGCTTGACTCTTACATCTTGGGACAAATGATTAAATTTCAATTCTCAATAAAAACAAAACTTTCTATAACTTTCCATAGCATAGGTAATGATAAAACAGGGAGGATAAAAACGATTTAAGTAGAAAATTGTATTTGGTATTTTAGTCAGTGGGTCAGTGTCTTTAATAGGTGTATTTAGTGGTGCAAGAAAATTGATGGATTTAAATTATATGGATAATAGTGTTGTTGTTTTTTTTGTTAACTGTCAAAGGGACACTCTTGTTTGACCTTGATTAGTAAATGATGGGTGGCTATGGTTTGAGCTCTTACCCAGGCTATAGTTATAAGGTAAAATATTTTGATAAATACAATGTATGTGAGAAATATGACCGTTCACAAACCTTTTTAGGGAGGCTTCCTCTTGCACGACTAAATTACAGAGATGCCAACTCAAATCTGGAGATTTTTTTTTCAGACTAACACCCCTCCCGACCGAATTCGCGGCCCCCTCCGGGTAATTTCATTTTTGATTTGGACCCGTACAATCAATTTTGCGGGAAAAACGTGGATATATCTGTCAGGGTCTTCAATTGGTTGAATACTCATCCAATCAGACTCTCGCTTATATAAAGGAAGGGGACAGGGGAGCGGGAGCCCGGGAGAAGAGGGGACGGAAGAGGGCAGGAAGCGGGAGAACAGGGGGCGGGAAGCGGGATCTATATGAGGGTGGGAAGCGGGAGCAGAAATAAAGAAAGCAATAGTTTGTTCTTTATTACTTGGTATTATTCAGTCAAAAACACTCATCTAGCAAAGATTTGAAATTTCCATTTAACATATGGAGCTTAAATCTTAGTTTTTTGCGGGCAACTGATCCAAACTTCCTTTGATCCGGGAGTTTTGGTCACCCGTAGGGAAGAGCGAGAGATTGACTCTGTATAAGGGAGACACCCCGATAATCCGAGGGAGTTGGCATATATGAAATTAGAGGCATTTGATTTCCACAAAGACTTTCCTTTTAAGCTCCGACGCGACTGCGACAAAACACCATATACCTGTTTAAATTTTAAAATTGAGGTGGTCTGGTAACTACTATCATGGGGAAATGGCGCCTTTGCTAATTTTAGATTGTTTTGAAATTTTGCGCCACAATTTTCTCATCGATCGGGCGATCGGTCAATCAGTTGTACTCTCGTCGACTAAAGAGGACCATTTAATTCTGAGGAGAGTTTTCCGTAGCTGAAATGTCGAGTTTGGAAGGAGCTTTTGCGCCAATTGCCGTCCAAAGGTATGCGACTCCCCCTCGGGGATCGATGTTTGACTTAGTTTGTAAGTTTCTCTGACACTCGGCAATTTGACTTCCACCCCCAATTCCTTTTGGTTAAGAAGTCGAGCTTTTGAACTGTAGAAAGAGAATATGGGAAGATTTCCGCATAGCTTTATACTTGGATAAAGAAAACAATAGCGAAAACAATAGATTGCCTTTAACACCACGGCTTTATCCAAGAATCATGAGTATGGAGTTTTTCGGAAATCTCCGACTTTCTTTCACACCATCCAAAAGGATCCGTGTCTCACAAGAATTAAGGATAACATGACATCGAAAGATTACTGCAGCAGTCATAGAGATGATGAATTCTTCAGTACCACTGTTGTATATCAAGGATGAGAAGTTTGACTTCGGAACCGCAAGCTTTGATGGGGTTCATCTAACGCTTCCGCTTGAAAGGCAGTCTATGACGGCTCGTGCCTTCTGTTGTATAGTTGTAGAGTACTGCAGTAATAAACCTAGTGTGGTTTAAAATGCAGAGGGTTAATGAAAAGCTCATGTGGATGTCAAACTTGTGACAAAAGGGAACTTAGAACAGAGTTTGTACACAGGTCAATTGACAGGCTGGGGACAGGGAAGGAATTTAATAGATTAGGTACACTTATTAAATGTGCATCAAATTTATTTTACCTCAAAACTTCACATCTCGTCCACTTTGCATACCTGGCACTATGGGTAATACCTACTTGTCTAGTACTTGAAACCTGAAGTCTGCATGCACTGGTTGTGCAAATTGAAACATGCCTCAAGAGCAAAACCCTTTGAGTATAATGATGGTAACTACTCTATGCATATTAAATAAATGCCATCATGCATTCACACATTCACAGTTCAGTTCTTCTAGATTCACACATACTACATTTGCAACCCATGGTGCCACACACAATTGGAATAATTCAAATGCTGAGTCAAATACAAGAAAAAATAATTTTCTGCCCTTACTATTGCACATAATTTATGTGCTTTATGTAAAGAACAAACTGGGATAGATAATTACTTTATTTATTTTGAATTTCAGGGGAACTGGCAACTATTACAGAGGATATATTAAACCACCTGAGAGATTTATCAGTACCCAACTGTCAGGGGGACTCAGGGTGCTATATCAAAAGCTTGAAGAAAAAAAACAAGGCTTGTGTGAGGAAGAAACTCTACTGCTCAGAGCGGCCACAATACCAAAAGGTTTAGTATGATTCTACAGTGCTGCCAATTTCATTGCCACTCTCTTAAATTCTACTGAGTAAACAGGGAGATTCACTATCAGCTAACTCATCCACTGGGTGTATTTTGGTACATATTACTTGTTCAACTCTTTACACTTATTTGAAAGGAGGCAAACAATAAGAAAAGTATTTGAATTTGCAAATGAGTCAAACCTCTTGTTAGAAGATTAGGAAAAAATCCTTTCTGTCATGGGAGGAAATCAAGTGGGGAATTTTTCTTGCATACTGTTCAGAAACCAGACAAGTCATGTTTCAATCTTATCTGAAAGGATAATTGGATGATAGATTTTTTATTTTTTGATTTTGAACATGAGGATGGTTGATTATTACTGCACATCAGCCCATGGCTCTGCAGCCTAGTTTTGATTTTCTTTATGTAAAAATCAACATGGGAGAACCAGAATGCGTACACAGACTACCTGTGATGACATTTTTATTTAATTTTTTTTCCGTTTTGGCTCCAGCACTAGCATCACAGACTGGCAAAGATGGCAAATTCAAGCCTTGTTACCCAGGTAACTTCTCTGTTTCAGTTCAGTAGCTGCATCAATTACACTGAAGATTTCCAATCACTATATAAAAGCATGTTTCTGTAAAGCTACAGTTATTTTGTGAATTCAAAATCTAAAAACAGTGAATTAAAAAGGTTTTTAAGTATGTGTAGCTTGGACTTAAGAAATATGACACAAAAATAAATTGTTATGGCAAAATTTATCAAATGAATACATTTTTTTTTTCAATTTTAATTGCTGTTGATTTCTTCTTTATAATTTTCTTTCTGGTAGTTCCATTACTTGCTGGAAGATACAAATTTATTCAAGTTATTGGTGAAGGGGAATCATCACTCTTAATTTCAGCAGAGGTAAGGTATACAAAATGCTCATACAGACTGGAAATTATGGTTTTTAATTGCTGTAACTGTCTCTGGAAAATACCAGTACCTCCTGTTATACCCGTCAACTTTATACCTACATTTATATGAATTTTTTCGAAAGTGTTACTTCATTTTTGAAGGACCTATTAATTACTTTCAGCATATGGTTAAAAACTTGCCTTATAACCCTTTAACTCCCAGAAGTGATCAAGAAGTAACTTCTCCCTTTAATATCTGTACATTATATAGCAAACAGGTAATGAGATACTCAAACTGATCAGGAAGAAGTTGTTGTCTTGATCTAACACCAAATTCTAGTAATTAGTTTAATAGAAAAGATGCAGCAACTAGGGAGGAGAATTAACAATCTGATCTAAGGAGTTAAATGGGATAAGACATTCAAAGGTGTTTGAAATGCAATTCAGAGGTGTATCATATGTTTCAATTAAGATAACCTCTTCCATAACTGCAAAGGCCCATATTCCTTCTAGAAACAGACCAAAACATTTGAAATCCAAGGGGCTGTGTTGCTTAATTCCAATCTCAGCTTCTATTAAAGACAATGTTTCGTGATGGAACTTATTTTGTGATTGGATAAAAACTGTTCAGTTCACACAGTATGCTTGTATATTCACCAAAGCTAACATTCATGTAATTTTCTTTGTAAAGGATACATACCATTTTGAAAAGAAGCAAGTTGCTATAAAGATAATGAATTTGGATTATTCCAGACTTGGAGCTCAGGTACACTGTATCTGTCTAGTATAGAGTTTAATATGCATACAGCTGTAAGTGATAAGGTGCATTTCAGACAAGCAAGCTACAAATAAATCTGTTATATGCAGAGCTGAGAGTGCTACTGAAACTGCATCTACTGAAAAGAGCTTGTATGCAAGCATGTGTACCTTGACATGAGGTATACATTGTCAGTGGAAACTGTTCAAGATGAAGTGTACATGTTCATGCAAAGATCTTTGGGTTGATTTCCTGCAAGGTAAATTAGATTAACTTACTATCTACTTTGTATTACATGAGTTTACTTTTTATTTACAAAACTGTTGTAGGAGGCAGATTGCATTCAACAGCTCAACAAGGCTGATCCTCTCCATGTTTCCAGAACTGTCCAGTTGTTTGTAAGTCATGGATGTACAATCCTTTTTTGAATACTGAATCACATGAAACAAAATATCTGCATGTTGTTAAATAGGACTTATTTTATACAGACACTGTAAGTATCACTCCAACTTTTTGATACTATATGAAAAATCATGAAAAGAGAAGAAACTGACCCTACTGAAGGACACAAATGATGTAAACTCAACAGTATTAAACACCACTGGCCTTAACTGACAAGGAAATTCAACCAATGACCTTGGATTGAGAATGATGAATGCTTTGCCTTTCATCCATCAACTTGACAGAGTGGTGCAAACTAGGTTTTTTGCATGTCAACACTTAGTTGGCAGTATCAAACATGCATGAAAAATTATAATTGTAATTTACTTGTATGCAGTTACAGCTTTTCTTGTAAAACACGGCAGTCTTAATATTATAATTTCCAATTGGTTCTTTGTTTTACAATAATTATAACATAGCACTGATATATTTGGTACACGAGTACAAGAATGTATTCTATGTAGAGGACCACAGTTCACTGACCTTGTATTTTTGCCAATTTGACATATTTGCTTGTGGATTTTTAGAATGTTTTCAGTTTTGAGGGCCATTACTGCTTGGTTTTTGAGCTGTTGAGACCTCGGCCACTCCATCAATACTTTCAGGTTGGTTAAATTATAAACAGTGTAATTTAGTATTATCAACTGAGCTGATAATGTAAATTGGCCTCTGTTAAGAGTTTCAAAGCTGATGTTTCAAGCATTAGCCCTCTGTCAAAGGGAATGGTGAAGGGCTAACATTCGAAATGTCAGCTTTGAAACTCTTAATGGTGGCTAATTTACTTTATCAATTCAGTTAATAATACCAAATTACCTTGTGATACTCTCCCACTGATACAGTGCCATTGTTTGCTTTAGAAATTTACTGGCTTTATTGAATTATAAACATGCTATTAAGGAATCCAAGAGCTTTCCCTTTAAATCAATTACTCTACTTTGTACTGTTGTATCTCTACTGATGTAAGTATTATATTTTAAATCATCTTCTTTACAGAAATGTCAGTTTGATAACGAGGTAAGAGTGTTTAATGTATTACCATCTGTGCATTGTATGTTTTCATTGTTAAATTGATTGTCATCTTTGTTAACAACATGATTGATTTAATGTACATATTTTTGGCAAGATCATCATCTAACCATGTACATTCTGTAATATCAGTTACTCAACAGTGTTTTCTTGACTTTGTTTACTAACAGGATGACAAACTGAAAGTCATCAGGAAAATAACTTTTCAAGTGAGAAAACCTTTTTTTTTTTAATTCTTATAACTACTTTTGATTTAAGTTATTTCAAATACAATTGCATCAGTTTTCTTTTGTCAGCTATAAGAACTTACAAAGACCATTTTAAAGTTAGCTTTAATGAAGATGAAACTTGTTGTGCGTCAAATTTATTGAAATCAAAATAATAGTTTTTATATAATAAATTGATGTGGTTATTTGCTTGTAGCTCTTACAAGCTCTTGGATTCCTAAGGAGGTAAGATTATCAATAGGTGTTCTTTTGAGACTCTCTAGAACTACTCATTTGTACCCACAAGTGGCTTCATTTTATTTCATTGTCAAGGGACTCTTCTCTTGCCCATCTTTTGGTGATGCCATCATGTTGTTCCAGGTTGGAAGTGGGAAGTTTATTCTGCATTTTGGCAAATAAAAGGGGATCTTTTTCAAAAGGGGGTGTTCATTTGAGAGGAGTGACTGATTTCAGGATTTTATGTGCTTTGATCTCATTCAACTTTCCATATGAATCCACAGACAGAATGTCATCCATGCTGACTTGAAACCAGAGAACATTCTTTTTGAAGAAGGTGAAGTGGGGTGTTTGCAACAAATTGTCAAAAAATTTGATTTAACTTAATGGACTTTTAAAGAGTTGTAATATTTTGATCTGGTTAAATATAAATAACAGCTGTAGCATTTTGTAAGAAAAACAGACCAACATTTTATACACTGCTCAGATTCTGAAGATACACAATACAGTGGTCAGTGAAAGACTACTTTTATGAATACTCAGAGTTCATATCAGTTACAATTATTTGCCTAACAAAAAATATCATGAATATACCATCCCATTTTTGTTTCTGTCATCATGTATATATGTCATCATGATGGTGCCTGGATGCCTTGTATAGGGCCCCATGTCTTAGTTGCAAACATTTTGATGCATGGGAGCAGTAGGCTTGGAATTTATGGACTAAGCCTTTTATGGACGTAGCCTTTTTTACATTTCTGACAGCCAACCTCCATTGAGAGATCTGGTTGTTAATACACTGTAATAAAAACAACTTTTTGTACACTTAACAATTTTAGTCACAGACCTGATGGTGAACAGTGGTGGATATTTACCGCACTGCTTCGCAGCTTGGTGAATTTCCACCAGTTTCATTGACACTGACAGAAGTGAATAAATTTGTTAGTATATAGTATACCACATAGATACCAAAAAATTAGTTTATTTCTTTCAATATACCAAAAACTGGTCAGAAATCAAACTCTTAACATGTGATTTTGTCTCATTGACTGCATGGAGGTGAATAGTACTTGGTATTCCCTAAATGGAACCAGCCAATCAGCACATGCAAAAAGCACTATTTACTTGTTTGGTGTGTACTAAAATTGTATATTATATTAACACACTGTAGGTGACGAAACCAAGATAAAAGTTGTTGACTTTGGAAATGCAATTCATTGGGTTCATAGAGAGGTACATGTGATTTCTATTATTTGGTAGCTTTAGTGACTTAATATTAAATGTGTGCAGCTAGATGCATCAGAATTGTTGTACTGTAGACTTTAGTAACCCTTTACACCCTAACATCAATATGCATATTCTCTATACTGCTCTCATACATTTGCTGAAGCACTGACAAGGAGAATCTCTTTAAAAATCAAGAGCTTTATAAGTTGATGATCATTTCCTTGATTCCCGTGACTTTAATGTTTGATTTAAGGGTGATAATGTAAAAAAAAATTAGAAGCTGATCAGTCTTAGGGGTTAAAGGGTTAAAAGATCCTTTTCAAAGTATAATGAAAGGCAAATTCTGTACAGAGGACAAGGGCTCATACCAGCTGTGAAAAACTGTTTATAGAGAATTGTGTACTATGTGTTTACCCCTTTAACATGTAACTTCTCCCTAGAATATCCATACTTTATCCAGCAAACAGTTAATGAGAATACACAAACTTATCAGGTAGAAGTTCTTATGTTGATCAAGTATCAGATTCTCATAAGTAATTTATAAGAAAATGTGAGGCAGCTAAAGTGGAGAAGCTACAGCCATTTTGATCACCGTGACAAGTGAAAATATATTTGGTGACTTTTGCCAACATCTTAGTCATTTTAACATTTTAGTTAATTGGTGACTAACAGATAAGAAAAAAGAAAAAAGAGGCAGCCAAAAATTTTTAAATGGCGACCATTTTAAATTTGAAGGTTGCCAAAAGGCAACTCTTTCGAAAAATGAGCTTGGAGCTCTGTCAGCCACCATTAGTAATGACATATGATAATTACTCAAAATATTTAATTTAATTCTTATTTTCTTCTGTTTAATTCTGTCAGGTTTCCTTGTATTATGATGAGTTTGAATTACAAACTTTACTTTACAGAGCTCCTGAGGTAAGGTAAAGATATTGCTGTTTTCATGAATTTGGAGACAAAATTAATTTTACATGTGGGTTACATGCATGCAACTCCAGTGTTTTCCTAATCAATCCAAGGGAAATAAAGCTAGATTAAAGTATTTTATTTGTACTTGCATGAACTGAAGTACTCTATGAAAGATGATCAGTAAAGTTCTGCAGTTTTGTGTTTCATAAAACAACTTAATGTGGTTGGCCTGTTGCAGATGGAAAATTCTGTTCTGTGGTGACTATCATCTCAAGCAATGTATCAGAAAACATATTTAAATTCACACAATTATTTTACCATGACTGTATGTCAGGTGCAAATAGATGGGGGATGTACATATATATTAGGGCTGTTTTTAAGTGTTTGTTGGACACTTGAATTTTAAAGTTCAGTCTGTGGAAGAGGGTCCCACTAAATGTTGTTTAATGCAGTGAGGTACAGTGTCCTCCACTTGATAATGTTGATGGCAGTCAGTTGAAACTGAAAGCACTGTGTCAATTCTTTCCAGGTGATGTTTGGTGTTCCCTTTGGCCCTGAGATTGACATTTGGTCTTTGGGATGCATTGTAGCTGAGGTTGGTTAATTGACTTGTATGTTCTCACCATAATTAAAATATTGTTAATGATTATTAGACCATCAGTCAGAGCTAATAACAGATGATGCTTGGCAGTTTTATGATGGATATTTCTCCGTAAGGGGGGAGGAGAACTCACCCAGCCATTGATGTTATTGATGAGGAAATGAAATAATGTCCTTTTAATATGAACATTGGTTTCAGTTGTATATAGGCAAACCTTTATTTCTGGGAGGAAATAGGACTAAAGTGTTGCAAGAGGTATGTTTTTGTTTTGTTTTTTTTATTATTGGCACTTTTACAAGCTGTTTATGACCTAAAGTAACTACTTTCCATGCTTGGTTGCAGGTAACCAGTATTCTTGGTCCCATACCTTGGAGTCCATTCCATACTGGAAAATTTTTTGAAGATTTGTTACAGTTTATAGGTCACCACAACTCAGGTAAATTCAAGTTTAAGATGATTCAAATGTAATCAAGTTATCTCAAACTTTTTTGGTAATCCTAATACTTAGTCCTCAACATCATTTAAATGGTCTCTGCAACTATTTCATAAATCCAGGTACACAACTTAAATAAACAATTGATTTAACCCTTTAACTCCTAAGAGTGACTAACATCCAATTTCTCCACACAACATCACCCATGAATCAAACATCAAGGTCATGAGAATAAAGGAGATGATCACCAAAGAAGCTCTTGATTGTTAAACAAATTCTCCTTGTCAGAGCCTTAGGAAATGTCTAGAGAGTAGTATGGAGAATATGCATACTGATGTAAGGGAGGAAAGGGTTAAGATACATTAGCAAAATAGCAAAAGACGACTTATCGTTTATACGAGGGAGGAACCATTGGAAAGAGAGCGATGCTTAGAGGTGGTTCAAGTGAAAATTAAAAATAATTCATACGTGGGAAAAGATTTTCTGAAAAAAAACAACATGCACAATGAGATGTCCAGAAAAAAAAGTATCCATTCATTCACCTTTCCAACTATTATTTCTGCTCCCAAAAAATGAATCAACAAAAACGTCCATAAATACAATAAATTTTCATGGGAAAAAAATCCCACATAGAAAATACTGTAGGAATCAACACATGTTGGCTCTTTACTCACTTAAGACTTTTTTTTCATTGCTTTTAGAGGACAATCACCTGAAATGTGTGAGTAATGTGATGCTGAAACTCCATAATTCAAGAAATTTCTCTTTTGCACGTTTCTTAGTTGGCTTGCTGAAGTATAAACCAGGTAAGTATACGGAATTATCATAGTCTGTGTAACTTTTACTTGAAACACTTTGTTTGTTACAGTCGTTATCCTGCAAAACAATGCCAAACGCACTGACACGTGAAAAACAAAAAACCAACCTTTGTTCTTTGCTTTGTATCACGATCTCAGGTGAAAGACTTACACCTTATCAAGCTGCTGCGCATCCATTTTTGGCGCCAGAGTGTTCCTTTGCAAATTTATTGCCTCAACAAGGAGATAAGAAAACAGGTTTGTTCTTGCCTTCCATTGAACTGCATAAATGCAAATTGGCCCTATGCCGTCGCCATGAAACGAACTTCTGACAAAGAAATTTACCTTTCACACAGGAATCACCTTTTTTACAGTTTCTCAGACTTTGTCGTTTATGTAGTGACGACTCTGATTTTTCTGAAAAATCAGAGGCAACGTGCTAGTTTTTCGATAAACGTAGCTATCCTGTTTCTGTCGTTCAAGCGGGCCACCGCCGTGCCCAACAAATTGATCGACATTCAGCACTACAAACGGTTCAGAAAGAAGATGCCGATCGCATTCCATTCACTCTCACATTTCACCCTCACAACCACGCAGTTGAATCTATCATTCCTAAAAACTTTCAATTACTTCAAAACGATTCCGAGACTGGTACGATCTTTTCGCAACCTTCACTAATTTCATTCAAACGTGACAGAAACATAGGCAACTTTTTGATCAGAAGTTCATTTCAAACCAGTGACTAACCTGGAACTTTTAAATGCGCTCGCTCACGATGCAAAACTTGAATGAAGCAAGACTTGTTTTCATCCGAAATCTCCCTGGAAGGTGTAGTGTTTCAAGTTTGATTAAGGTATTGGGAAACCTTTATCAATCAAAATATAATAAAATACCTCTGTTACGTTATTTCCAGATGCTGGAAGCTGCGAAGACATTTCGCTTCCCACTGAGTATAACTTCAAACCATACGTTGACGAGGAAGTTAAAAGGCAGCATTTTTCTGGAACTGAACTCTTAAAGAAGGGAACTACTGTAACTGCTTCTTCACCAAAACACTTTCAGAGCAAACAGGAAAATGCAACATCTCTGAGGGCTGGAAATTTACATTGTTCTCAAAGAGAAAAGGTGACAATTAATGAGAAATCTCGTCGGGAAGACCAGTTGCGTCAAGAAAATTTCAGTTATGCCATGGAAGGTCCTCTTGCCACGGGATACCCTAAATCAACTCACCAACAGAACGAGACGTGTGCCGTTTTTAAAGGAAATACATGCACTGATGATAAACAAGTCTAGGACAGGCTCATGTCTACTCTCCTGACTCCGACAAATCTTTCTTTGGGAAAAATTTCAGAAAAAAAAGAAAAGTGTAATGAGAAGGATTATTTGCCAGCAGAAACTAATATTACTTGTCCTAATAATGAGTTCGAAAGACCTTCGGCGAGATTCGTGTACAACAAAAGCTCCTGTTTTAAGCGCAAAAGTAATGTCTTTAAATACACTCATGTAGAAGACGGAAGCCTCCAAAAGTCTCACGAACTTTCTTTATTTGGGGTTAAGAACTTTGGAAGCACAAACTTACTTGAGCATCACAACAGATTTAATATTGCTGGAAAACTAGGATTTGATGTGGGCAATTCTTCCTCAGGTGGAGAAACAAATGCTGCCGCAAGAACTCGTGTCTATCATAGGAAAACAAAATCTACCAAAGTAGAGTTTGGGTATACTAAACATGACGGTGTCGCTGCAGTCCAAATGGAGGTACTTGTAAATGAATCTCCTTGTTGGGCGGCAAAAGCAACTGTAACAGATGTGAATCTTCAAGCGAAGTTTAGAGTGGGAAAGGTTCGTGACGCATATTCGCATTTTGTGGGTGCTTTTTTCTAAATGCACGTGCGTTTATTTGGAAGCGATTTCCGGTTAATGTCCATACTCCTTAATTTAGTAGTTGATCGACTTTTTCATGTTCAATCAATGACATGTAGCTAGGTTGTGGAGACTAGTCAATCAGTTAGGCAGGCAGGAAGGCAGTTGATCTACATTTTCATGTATCAACCAATCACATGGAGCTTGTTTGTGGAGACCAGTTAGTCAGTAGTTCAGTCAGTCAGGCAAACTGGCAGGCACGCAGCTGGCCAGGCAGTAAATTTTTGGGCTTGACAGTCTGGCAAGCAGTCAACTGGTTAGCCAGTTGTTCAGTGCTTCACTCACGCAGGTATGTGTGAATTTGATAGTCAGACAGACAATGTGTCAGCTATTCACTCAGTCAGTCAATCAATAAGTTTTTCATTTAATCAGCCTGAAAGGCAGGCATCCAGCAAACAAATCAATCAGTCAGTAAATCATCCAGCTACATGTAGTGTGCCAGATGGTCAGTTGGCTCTCAAGGCACACCTCCATCAGCGAAAAGAAAAATCACCAAGATGCTGGAATATTGATTAATCATAACTTAACAATCAGTTAGTCAGCGAGTGAGTCGGTCGGTCTCCTGGTCATTCAGTCAGTCAATGACTCAATCAGGCCGGCAGTCGGTCAGGTGGTCTTTCATTCAATCAGTTTGTCAATCAGCTTGTCAGCAAGTTGTCTTAATCTCTTGGTTTTACCAAACAGGAATCAGAAGAGCAAGCAAAGCAGGACTCTGGAAAAGCCGCATTCTCTGGAGCATATCAGAATGATGTGAGTATTAAATTTTTTTTAATAGGAAAAAAATTTAGCCGATTTTCTTCTCTCTGTTGGCTCGAAATGTCAGCTTTGAAACTCTTTACGATAGTCAATTTACGTTATCAACTCAGTTGATAATACTAAATTACTTCGTGGCTGTAGTTTACTTGTAGCTGGGAGTAAAGAGGTTATATTTTCAACATTTTTGGCCTATTTCATTCCTTTTGCCCTAAGAAACAAGGCAGCTAATCTTTCCTACCCTCAATAAAGTCTGGCTCCTTATAATCCCTCAGATCATCTCAGTTTCCCGAGTGACAATGACATAATTACAATCAAGGCATTGAAAACATCGTCATTATAGAAAACCAACATCTTCTGCAACTCTTAGGCGATTGAAAATATTGAGACATATTGTTTCTTTCGATCGCCATATAACTGAATTTTGAAATAACTTTTTTTAATGCGTTTTCTCTTTTCTTGTTTGTTTTTTAATCGTTTTATTTTGTACTTTATCATAGGAGGTGATGTTACTTGGCGAGGATGGACAAAGCAGTTTCTGAAATTTTTAGCTTAGTTTGTATTTTGATACCTGTGCAAGTACAAAAATATAGTAAAAAATTTTTTAAGTAGATTTAAAGTGACTTTGTGGATTTTGTGGTGAAGTTCTTCATTACGTCATGTGCTATTGAGCTCTTAATTCAAATGTATGTGAAATAATCGTCTAACTATGCGCAGATCAATCGTCACGGCATTAATTACTTTCAGAACATTACGGCGGCGTGTTAAAGGATTCTCTTTCTATTGAGGAAAGGAACAAAGTTAAAGGAATTGGGATGAAGACCAGCAAATATGTTTTTCTATGGTCAAAAGACAGCGGTCGTTCATTCCTTTCTTAAGCTCCATCGCGAGAACTACATTTCTGTTCTTTATAACAGTTGCTGCAACTTTTTCCTTGTCTTCCAAACCGAGAACACCAGTCAGAAAATTAGACGATAGTTTAGTTTAGATAGTTTATTATCAAGAACCTTGCAGCCATAGGCTGAATTACGTTTGATTTACAATAAAATATATACTACAAAAAATACATGGCTAAGAAGAACTAATTAAAAAGACAAAAATATATAATTAAGAGAAAAACAATATTACATCATTGCTTTATGGACATAGTGATGGATAAAACTATTTCGAGTACGAATGGTGTGGAGGCGCCGTGTAGTAAAAGAGTGCTGACTCCTTAAATTGACTTCGCACTCATTCTTGGGAGGTAGTAAGCTATAGAGCTTGTGCGAGGGATTAGACAGGATGGAATTAAAAAGCTTATCACATAAGAACTCGCGGCGGTTGTGTAAGGGAACTAGACCAGTCAAAAGAAGCGCCTCATTGTACGAACAATCTGGATAGATAATACGTAGAGCTCGCCTTTGACATCTCTCAAGATCTACTGAAAGGTATTGCGGGAGGCTATGATGATAAACAGGGCATGCATATTCAGTGACAGGCCTAATACAAGTCAAATAGAAGAGCAAAAGCTCCTCCGACTTGACCTGTGCACGCTTAAGCTGACGCAAAAAATACAGGCGCTTGTTTACTTTCTTTACAACTTCGGATACGTGATTATTCCACGTAAGATCGCAAGATATCTGCAAACCTAAGATCTTTGCTTGCTCTACACACTCTAAGTCCTGATCATTAACCTTAATTGGATCAAAGTTCTTTCTAGAGTGACTGAATGTTATGCGCAGTTCCTTGCACTTGGTTTCATTTAATTGGAACTTGTCAGCAGAAGCTTGCGTCGCGAGTTCGTCAACCGCTTGTTGGACTTTGCTGACCTCAGACTTCATGACTGTTTCAGAAATAGTGGAGTCATCGACATATTTCCACATGTCTGTACCCGGGATGATGAGGTCGTTTATCATAATAGTAAATAACCAGGGGCCAAGTTTTGTGCCCTGTGGGACCCCTGATGGGATGGCCCCCACCCCGAGTAACAGTCCTGACTAAGTTTAACACGCTGTCGGCGACAGGACAGAAAGTCCACTATCCAGTCAATTATTCCGCTTGGAAGATCGTATGAAATGAGCTTCTGAACTAGGATCTGATGGTCAATAAGGTCAAACGCCTTGCGGAAGTCAAAGAGGATGGTTCTGACAGTTGCACCGTTCCCATCCGTAGCACTAAGCCATGAGTGGACCATGCTTATTAGTGCTTGTGTCGTACTGGAACCTGGCACAGTCCCAAGGTAGGGATAGGGTTTCTGGTATCAAATAATGTTTTTCCGAAATGAAACTACGAAACACATCAAAAACGACTGAAATAATGCTAATTACGTCAAAATACTGATCTACATGTACCCGACTTAACATTAGTTATAATACATTACGATAATGTCGCTCCTTACGAAGTTCTACTGAAAACAGATTGTAGGAAAGATCATTAACTCGTGGTTTTCAGCGATAAAACAAATATTTCACAATTTTCTGTTTTTTCTCAGGTTCAATGTTCTACAGCCCATGTCCTCCTAAGTTGGCTAGCTATTTCTCATTTTCATCTTTAACTAACACTACAGTGGGCCGTAACTTTTCCTAGCTTCTCACACATTTCTCCACTTTGTTACAAGTGATCACGCTCTGATTCATTAGAGCGTGAATTGCCTTATAGATGCACTCGACTCTCACAAAAATTAGGCGCAGAATTTTTTTTCGAGGACTTGATACACAATGTCATGAACCCTCAAATGGGCTTCATCTGGCAAAGTATGAGTACCCAAAGGCTGTTCCTGACCGTGGGGGTGTGCGATATGACCCTTAGTTGGGGGTCTATAGGAAAAAAATTCTTCATTCACTGAGGAACATACTTTATTACCATTGTCGGGCTTTCGTAAAGGGGGAGGGAGGGGGGGCGTTGTGCTCCATTGTGTGTGTGGTAAGGGAATTGAATGGAGAAGGATCTTGTGGCCTTAACGCATACACTTTAGTAGAGCTTACATGGAAGGTCTTTGAAGCAGGTTCTGAACTTAAATTGGTTACTGATGGGGTTGTAACCGTCACCACTTTTGTTGTTTTTCTTGATACTGATGCAGGCGTTGGCGAGGTGACGTTTGCACCCTCAGTATAAACGACAAAACACAACGTTAAAGCCAAAGCCTGAGTAAAAATCTGAAAGAAGGAGAGAGGTCTTGTGGCTTCGTTCAAAGAGACCACCTCTGCGTATGAGATCCTAGGCTGATACTATTCAGTGAAATTACAAACAAAAACTTCCACAAGACAATACATAGTTCAACTCTTAATAACATAAACAACAAAGCTTTCACACTCGTGGCAAATTAGTCAATAATAACCCACTAGAAGCCTGTTATGGCCATCCCTTTGTTAGCTACTGTCACTGTCCTCACGCTAAGCTGAGCAAACTTTGCGACGCACTTCTATTGTTGTTGTCATACTGGCAGTGGTGTCACGACGACGGCGCATACAGGAGAACAACGGAGTCACCCCTCCCGCCTAGTTCAAAAAGATATCTAAATGGTATACCTCAAAACGTCGACAATAGACGACTGCGAGTAGTTGATAATTGATCATGAAAATTAGTACTGTCTGTCACTGTCAGACTCACTCATACCATGCATACACATCAACACAAGTTTTACCGCTGTTGTCTTCCTCTCCGTCGTCCATCCAATCCTGTCCGTACCATATCTGCATCTCTTGGTTGCTCGAGACAGACAATGGATTGACGAGGTTGCGAAAAACCAGCTCAGTTGAGTTATGGTGATATCCAGGAAGAGTGTAATAGTGTGTTTTGTTTCCAAAAGCACCGGAAGGTAAAGCTTTCAAGTATTTGGCAGGGGGCAGAATGGCCTCCTTATTGGCATCTGTGATGATTGTCATCAAATTTTCTCCATATGTTGGCCAGGTGCAGCCCCAGTAGGATGAATTAGTTTTATCGTTGCAGCGCACCGACCCTGACGTGTGAATAAGCTTCATCGTTTTCACTCTTCCACTCTTTGTCATGTTGAAGGAACCATATTTGTTATCTTTGGCTTCAAAGCAGACGGGTTCTTCACCATTTATCTTTTGCCAGCTCTCTAAGATAAAGTTATAGGATAGGTAGATAGTTTTTAAAGTTAATTAAACTATATTTTTTTAAAAAATAGCTACTTTCAGCCAACACATTTTCGAATGGTACTAGGGTGACAGCCGTTTGCAAGATAAATTCCAGTGATAAAAAAGGTAAACCATTGTTCTTTTCGGTGTCGTGATCTGGATAGTTGTTTTAATCTATTCCCATTCGCCATTAAAACAATTTTGTATAAGGGAAAGAACGATTCATGTCATTGACTAATCTTCTTCTCGGAGTTTGTAGTTCTATTTCAATTACTGAAAACAAACTCTTTCTTGTCTATAATTCCCCTTTTTTGCAGAAACACTGCGACGAGATATTATTTTGGTAAGTTTAATTAAGGAGTCGGAGTAGGAGAACACGTTAAGCAGGCAGTGGGGTGATGACGAGTCTACTAATTTAGTCAAACAATTTACCTTTACAATAGGCCTCGATGACCTCGCTATTCTCGTCAGAGTAAATCCAGTATTTCCCGTCAGCCATCTGGTTCCCTTCACTCGCTTCAATCTCACCACAGGTTTTCGCCGGAAGTTCTTTGATGGATCCGAGGAGAACTACGTCAGAAAAAAACGAATTTTATGTAAGAAGTTTACACCATCATACAGTTCGATACCTCCTGATGCGACAGGATAGGAAAAAAAATTTCCAACCTTTCCTGCCTGCGTAAAAGCAGAAAGAAATAAATCTGTGCTAATTCTATCAGATCTAGACTAAGAAGTGAGATGGAACACAGCAACAATAACGCAGCGAAATAGGCCAACATTTCCATATCATCGTTAAACAATTTTCAAGTTGACTAAGGAAAAGAGTTGCTTGACTTCATAATTAAGTCCCACGATGAAGTTGATGAGACGATGATTCCAAAACGTCGTTTCTGTTATTTGGACTTGTCTATGTATTTTGAAATGCTTTACCAATATTGAAACAATCCCCGAAATTGAATCATCAAAAGGCTCGCCATAGGAATATATCTGAATCTATAAATTTTGTTTCTCTGATATTTGAGTTTCTTAAATCGTGAACGAAAAATTCAAAAAACAAGTTTGCCCAGAAATGCAAAAAGTTAGTCGAGGGAACGTAAAGGGTACCTCTGTTTCTAGAACGCTTCATGTAAAATCTCATCTGATCCGGCATAAAATCTTCCGGCCGTGCTTCCTTTGTACGGTTGTTCAATTCACAGATGTTTTGACCAATGACGACATTGTAACTCTGACACGTGACTTCTTCTTCACATCGGAAATAACACTCTTTAGGCAACTGATCGCGATACGTTTTAAACACGTGACCTCTCAAGTACATTCCGCCAATGGAGCTTTCCATCAAATGACACTGGCTGTTGGCGTTGAGTACACCAATCCGGGACATCAGAAACATGGTTGCCAGCCAGAACTTTGGATTCATTCTGAGGTGAATGTAGGTGCCAATTCCTGCACACAGATAAAGTACCTATCAACCCAGTTAACAATGCTAAGATAAACTTAGTTACGGATTTTCAATCAAATGAATACTTCAATTTACACCTTGAAGGATAAATCAATACAAAAAGGTTTTGTTCTAGTTTCCTTTGGTCTCCACTAGTTGAACGCATAAACATTAAACACACTAACGTGTTCGATTCTGTTCAATTAAGTTACGAAAAACTAATCATCGACAGTAGTAAGAAGTGACTCTGCACTTTATATGCGTTATTGAAACAAGCGTGGAGTAAAGAAAGCTAGATATTGGCCGAGTTCTTTTTCTGCTTTTTTATGAACCGAGACACAATCCAGGTCCCATACAATCAGCCCTCAAAAATTATTTTTATTAAAAAAAGATTACCGTTTCCGCTTATTGCATTGGGTCGCGTTGAAAGGCTAAAAAAAGTGATCTATTTGTTTATTTTTTTCGACGATTTTTCCTTAAGCAGTGGTTGGCGTTTGGTCGTTGTTGTAATTTAAAACAACCGGAAGAGTTTTGATGTCAGATATTGGTTTTCTTTACTTCTGTACTGACAGCACCGAGGTTTTCAATTTTCTTAAAGTTCGATGACAATTTATGTTTGGAATAGAAATATCGAATTTCGGCTTCAATTTACCTTGGCAGAAGTTTGTCTCCAAATGTCAAGTGGGTTGTACTCAATGTCAACAGGTGCTGGTCCTAAATACCAATGACAGTCAAGTTATGAATTCATCATCACACGAAGCGTAGGATGTTTTTTCTTTAATTTTCAGAAGTAACTTTAAATCTCTTTTTAGCAAAAGTGTTATGTATCAAAGACACTGAAATGAAAATATAACTATTTTTTTCATCTTGAAACTAAAAGGTCTGCCATTCCCTATTAACTATTCTATATTCTCTATTCTCCATTACCGCTTCTAGTAAAATCCATTGACTTGTGCTTATTAACACCAAATTGCGTTTAAAACCTTGTTGTTACCTATACAAATCGAACACTAAGAGCCGGCTGAATAATTAACTCGAGCGGTTTTACGCCGAAACAAATATGAAATGGAATATGGCCTAGAAAGCCTTAAAATCATGATTATCGCTAAATCGCCTTGAAGAACAAGGACTACAGCCGTTCCATTGTACCGGAAAGAGATTTTACTTCGTACCGTCCAAGCAGGTGTTGGATAGAAGAGCGAAAGAGCTTCGCCAGGCTGGCCGTGAAAATAACATAGCTCGAAAAATATTAGAATATAGAGTCAGTGAATAAATAACTCTCGCTTCTCTTTTCTATCAATTAGCTCTTGTCTGAATAACGAATTGGTCAAGAAATATTTCTTAATCATTTTGTCTTACATTTTATTTGCGGCACCAACTTTTCGGATAACAAGATAATATATGGTAAAACCGACATTTCGGATAAAACGCTATTTTCGTGCACAAGTTGTGTCAGCTACGTCATAGAGCACTAAAGCAGATAACATTGTTCTCAGCTGCGCCTCGAGCGACTATTTCGCTTTTCTCTTCCTCTCCAAACTTCCCCGCGTGATCATGAATCCATACCCCGATGTACGCACACTAGACATGAACTGCAATTCTATATTGGCCAATCTTTCTTCTCTTTTTTCGTCATTAGAAAGAGTTACCCCCTTTGGTAACCGTCAGCACTTATTTTGTCGTCAATTTTTATGAACGAACCAGACCAACTTTCTAATACTTCCGCACCGAAACCCAAACAAAGAAAGGAAAGAAACTTGTTACATGATCTTATAAATGCAAAAGAGATTACTTACCCTACCTCAACTAAGCTTAATTTACCTCTGCTGAAATGTGTCTTTAAATTTAGAGTGGGTTGTGCTAAACACCAAAGATAACCGAGTTATGAGTACTTTATCACACAAAGCAACTTTCTGCGTGTCTCTCGATTTGTTTCTTGTTCGATATGATATATGGCCCAATAACTCTTCTCTCAGAGCAATATGTTTTCATAACTTTTATGTTTAATTAATGAATTCTGGCACTAATCTTAATTAATACAATAGCAGGATATCATAATTATTCTCGCACGTTTTTTTACAAACTTTACAAACAGCTATTCTTTTTGTTATTTCTTCTTGCAAATAGCTGCACCAAAGCTGGCATAGAGGTCTGTTGTTTTGCACTTTGAAATAATCGCCGCACTATTAAATAACTGTCGCGCTTTGTAATACAGTAACACTTGAACATTGTATTAATAGGGCTGTCGCACTTTGTAACAGCGCTTTTCGCACTTTGAAATAAATTTGGTACAGCTGGTCGGAAGGCGAATGTGCCTGATAAACCAGTCTCTCTAAAAGCGGTCCGATTCATTTCGGTTCGAAAATTCGGTTTCTTTTTGAACAGTTTTTAGTTAATGATAAACTATTTAGCGGCACTGGGCGAACCGAAAAAGTGGAAACTTTTTTAAAATCTCCTACGGGTTTCGTCTGACAATTGCAGACCTCAGGGAGTTTTTACAAGTTGGGTAATTAAAAAGCTTGCTTATTTACAAATATGAAATATAATTTTTTTTTCGACCTTTACACATATAATTTGAAGCAAGCTGAAAGTATTCGCAAGCTTTGACGATGATCTGTCCTGACAAAGTGCGACAATTTTATTGCAGAGTGCGACAGTTAGTACAGAGTGGGACAGGTGTTCCTCTAAATATGCCAATAATAGTCGACTTATGAATACTTCATGCTTCATTAAACTTGTCGTTATATTGGTGAAAATCAACAATATGCATTTCTTTTACACTGCTTGTTTTTTTATCACTGTCTTATGGCTTCTTTACTATTTCTGAGTTGTCTGGTCATTAACGTCCTATTGACATACCGCTTTACGGTAGTACTGTATATAGTATTGAAAAGCTTGTATTTCCCAACATTATCTGCCAAAGACATATACATGCTTTTGACACGCAAAATTGATTATAAGTTTGAGCTCATGAGAGCAGGAAACACAAGCTAACACTCGACCATCACGTGTGTGTATCACATGTACAGCAGAATTTCCTCAGGTGATATTCCGGGTGATGAACAAAACACTAACCCCTTGTACATGGACTACCCAGATGGACTGCCTTTGAGTTTTTTGTTTTTGCTAGTTGCAGCAAACACCTCGAAATTCAGGCGATTATTTTAACTATTTTAAGTCCTCTCGTCGATAAATAGCTTGAAGTCATTCCACTTCCCTGAATATCGATTATGAAGTAAGGCGAGAAATCGTTACGTATACTTTGTCTGACCGCCCGCTAACGGTTATCCCCTAGTACCCTCCTAGTATGCAAACCTATAGGCTGAAGTAAGTCTGAGATCAACGAATGTTGTAGAATTTGGCAAAGTCACGTATCGACACGTATCAGGTTTTCGTGCTGCTGTTTGGCTTTTCACTCTGAGTATCAATCTACGATAGGAAGATTGTCTTTCTAAGCCATTTGCTCTCAATAGCAAACTCTTTCATTTCAAACTACTGAATTAAAACACGTGTACTACGCTGGTGAGCCTTAACACTTCCGGTCTAAATGCCCCACCCACCAAAGCGAGGGTCATATTCCCTACCCCTCCGGGCACAGACGACGGTAAAATGCCCGTGGGTTGTTCAGGGGAAGGGAGAGTTTAAAGCCTCCAACCCATCGGCGCATTAACATTGTGAAAATAGGCTGCCTTTAGACAAACCAGTTACACATTTCACAGGTTTAAGTAGGAAATTGACCAAGTATACAGCTTTTATTTCACCTTCCACACAGTCATTGAACTTAAATGACCCTGCAGCAATCATTCAAAACTTTCTAAGAAAAATTTTCAGGGAATCAGTCATCTCAATTCTGGTCTCCTTCAACAGAAAATAGATTTAAAAAAACAAAAGCATAATAGGTGAAAAACGAAGAGTCCTCGACGGGTCATGTACAAATTAAAGACTCTGAAATTTATCTTTAATCGAATATGGGCCTTTAATCGGTCCATTTTTATCCCGAGCTTTAACATACTGCTCTCTGATTAGAAGTTGAAGAGCACGTTTCAGCCTCGTACTTGTCGTTATATAGACTATGAATGATATTGCACTAAGATAGTTAAATGAGTGTATTTTACAGAAACCTGGTTAAAATTTCTAGAAATATTAACTCGGTGAAAGGTTGGTTAAGATGAAACAACGGGGATATATTTTTTGAATGGCCGCACTGACATGGGCTATGAAATGGGGAGGAGGGGGGGGGGGGAACCAAAAGTATGCAGGCTTCGAGGACCACGTTGTTATTTTCTCGCTTCTTTCTTTCTTTTCGTTTCCTTTCTCTCCCCTGCACACTACGCAAACTTCCAAGGCAGTTCTTTCGACCGTGATGTTAATTTGCCGTAGATGTCAGAGTATTCTTCATTGCCGTCGGTTGAATCGTCCCTGATATTGGATCTGTCCGAGAAATCAGTGACGGCTTGAGGCAAGCACTAATCCTGCTATGCGTGACTTTTGTAGAGAGCCCTTTCGTATAAACATCGAGTCCTTTCAAGCACTTTGCCGTATTCTTTCAATATTTATGTTCTCGTTTCGGAGCAGCAGTTTACCGATGGAGAATTATGTGGCGAGCGGATTGTTGCGCTTGAGTAATGTATCTTCTTGTTGTAGCTGTTGTTTACCAGACGCCATGTTCATAAGCTTATGCACTTATTTCTCCTACGTAAAACAACATTCCCCACACACACCGCGATGACTTACACATTTTGCGACAAGAACAATGCACGGCACTGGTAAGAGACCACTAACTTGAGTTTAACTACGCAGAAAGTTAGTTTAACATTAACCAAACTCGGTTGTAAAATTCATTGTTCTTCAATGAATTACTGTGGTTACCGTAAGCCCAGTTTCAGTTCGATAAAACGCCAAAAAAGCGGCCACATCACGATGTTTCGGTAAAACCGGTTAACTTCAATTGACTGATTAAAATTAACTTGGTTAACTCACCATTAAGTGTTATCTCTTTTATTTTGTTTTCAAAATACAAAGAATTATGAGTTGTTTCTTTTTTGTGTTATGTACTTGTTTATTGCCACAACACAGCAGGCAGCGCAGTGAATGAAGCAAGACTTGTTTCAACCGGCATCTCCCTGGAAGGTGTATAGGGCAGTTAATTCAACTTTGACAATGTTATTGGGAAAACCTTTATCGATCAAAATAAATTCAAATACCTCTGTTGTGTTATTTCCAGATGCTGGAAGCTGCGCAGACATTTCGTTTCCTATTGAGTATAACTTCAAACCATGCGTTGACGAGGAAGTTAAAAGGCAACATTTTTCTGGAACTGAACTCTTAAAGAAGGGAACAACTGTAACTGCTTCTTCACCAAAATACCTTTAGAGCAAACAGGAGAATGTAACATCTCCGAGGACTGGAAATGTACATTGTTCTCAAACAGAAAAGGTGACAAGTAATGAGAAATCTCGTCGGGAAGACCAGTTGCTTCTAGAAAATTTCATGAAGGGTCCTTTTGCCACAGGATACCCTAAATCAACTCACCAACAGAACGAGACGTGTGCCGTTTTTAAAGGAAATGCATGCACTGATGATATAGAAGAAGAAGAACGTAAATAGGTCTTGGACAGGCTCATGTCTACTCTGCTAACCCCGACAAATCTTTCTTTGGGAAAATTTCAGAAAAAAAAGAAAAGTGTAATGAGAAGGATTATTTGCCAGTAGGAATCAATATTACTTGTCCTGGTACTGAGTTCGAAAGACCTTCGGTCAGATTCGTAAACAACAAAAGCTCATGTTCCAAGCGCAAAAACGATGTCTTTGGAGACACTTATGTAGAAGACAGAAGCCGCCAAAAGTCTCACCAACTTTCTTCATTTGGGGTCAAGAACTTTAGAAGCACAAACTTACTCGAGCATCACAACAGATTTAATATTCCTGGAAAACTAGGATTTGATGTGGGCAATTCTTCCTCTGGTGGAGAGACAAATGCTACCGCAAGAACTCGTGTCAATCACAGGAAAACAAAATCTACCAAAGTAGATTGGGTATAATGAGAAGGATTATTTGCCAGCAGGAATCAATATTACTTGTCCTGGTACTGAGTTCGAAAGACCTTCGGTCAGATTCGTAAACAACAAAAGCTCATGTTCCAAGCGCAAAAACGATGTCTTTGGAGACACTTATGTAGAAGACAGAAGCCGCCAAAAGTCTCACCAACTTTCTTCATTTGGGTTCAAGAACTTTAGAAGCACAAACTTACTCGAGCATCACAACAGATTTAATATTCCTGGAAAACTAGGATTTGATGTGGGCAATTCTTCCTCTGGTGGAGAGACAAATGCTGCCGCAAGAACTCGTGTCTATCACAGGAAAACAAAATCTACCAAAGTAGATTGGGTATACTAAACGTGACGGTCTCGCTACAGTCCAAACGGAAAAACTTGTAAATGTATCTCCGTGTTGGACGGCAGAAGCAACTGTAACAGATGTAAGTCTTCGAGCGAATTTGAGAGTGGGGAAGGTTCGTGACGTATATACGCATTTTGTGGGTGCTTTTTTCTAAATGCACGTGCGTTTATTTGGAAGAGATTTCTGGTTGATGTCCACACTCCTTAATTTGGTAGTTGATCTACTTTTTCATATATCAATCAATGACATGTGGTTTGTTTTTGGAGACCAGTTAGTCAGTAGTTTAGTCAGTCATTCAAGCAGGCAGGGAGGCAGCTGGTTAGCCAGTTGTTCAGTGCTTCACTCACGCAGGTATGTTTGAGTTTGATGGTCAGACAGACAATGTGTCAGCTATTCACTCAGTCAGTCAATCAATTAGTTTTTCAGTCAATCAGCCTGAAAGGCAGGCATCCAGCAAACAAATCAATCAGTCAGTAAATCATCCAGCTACATGTAGTGCACCAGATAGTTACTCGGCTGGTCACTTGGCTCCCAAAGCACGCCTCCATCAGCGAAAAGAAAAATCACCAAGATGCTGGAATATGGATCAATCAGAACATAACAATCAGTTAGTCAGCGAGTGAGTCGGTCGGTCTCTTGGTCATTCAGTCAGTCAATGACTCAATCAGGCTGGCAGTCGGTCGGTTGGTCTTTCATTCGTTCAGTTTGTCAATCAGCTTGTCATCAAGTTGTCTTAATCTCTTGGTTTTACCAAACAGGAATCCGAAGAACAAACAAGCAGGACTCTGGAAAAGCTGCATTCTCTGGAACTTATCAGAATGATGTGAGTATTATTTTTTTTTCTTCTAATGGGAAAAAATCAGCCAGTTCTCTCTGTTGGCTCGAAACGTTAGCTTTGAAACTCTTTGCGTAGACAATTTACGTCATCAACTCAGTTAATAATACTAGATTACTTCGTAGCTGTAGTTTACTTGTAGTTGGGAGTAAAGAAGTTACGATTTTCAACATTTTTGGCTTATTTCATTCCTTTTGCCCCAAGAAACAAAGCAACTAATCTTTCCTACCCTCAATAAAGTCTGGCTCCTTATAATCTCTCAGATCATCTCAGTTTCCCGAGCGACTATGACATAACTGCAATCAAGACATTGAGAACATCGTCATTATAGAAAGCCAAAATCGTCTGAAACTCTTAGGCGATTGAAAATATTGAGACATATTGTTTCTTTCGAACGCCATGTAACTGAATTTTGAAATAACTTTTTTAATCCGCTTTCTCTTTTCTTGTTTGTTTTTTAATCATTTTGTTTTATATTTTATCATAGGAGTTGATGTTACTTGGCGAGGATGGACAAAGCATCTGATATTCTGATATTTTTAGCTTTGTGTTTTGATACCCGTGAGAGTATAAAAATATGGTAAAAGATTTTTAAAAGTAGATTTAAAGTGACTTTGTGGATTTTGTGGTGTAGTTCATCATTACGTCATCTGCTATTGAGCTCTTAATTCAGATGTATGTGAAATATTCGTCTAATTATGCGTAGATCAATCGTCACGGCATTAATTACTTCCAGAACCTTACGGCGGTGTGTTAAAGGATTCGCTCTCCATTGAGGAATGGGACAAAGTTAAAAGAATTGGGATGAAGACCAGCAAATATGTTTTTTTTATGGTCAGCGGTCGTTCATTCCTTTCTTAGGCTCCATCGCAAGAACTAACATTTCTGTTCTTTATAACAGTTGCTGCAATTTTTTTCCTTATCTTCCAAACTGAGAACACCAGTCAGAAAATCAGACGACAGGGTTTCTGGTATGAAATAATCTTATTCCGAAATAAAATCACGAAACACATCAAAAACGACTAACATAATGCTAATTACGTCAAAATACTGTACCCGCAGTTAAAGAAATTGGGATGAAGACCAGCAAATATGTTTTTTATGGTCGGTCGTTTTTATTTACGGTCGTTCATTCCTTTCTTATGCTCCATCGCAAGAACTAGGTCGTGCTAAAGGGTATGGTGTCAAAAGCCTTCGAGAAATCGCTTAACACCATAAGCGTGACCTCTTTCCTTTTCATGGCATAGCGAATATCGTCTCTAACTCTCAACAAGGCTGTAATGGTGGAATGCCCTTTACGGAAAGCCGAGATGCGATCGTGAAGAAGATGGGCGTGGTCCGCATAATTCGTCATTTGAATAGCCACAAGCTTCTCGAAAACCTTGGATAGAACAGGAAGAACTGAGATGGGCCGGAGTTGATCGTTAGAGACCGGGTTGTCAATCTTTGGAACTGGAGACACCCGAGCAATCTTCCATTGCTTTGGAAAATAAGCTTTCGCAATGCAATTGTTGATGATAGATGTTAGAGGGACTGCCAAGCACTCAGCAACCATCTTGATGAAGCGGGTAGGTATCTGATCCACGCTCGTAAAACAAGCCGATCGTAGATTCTTGATGACCTGGAGAACGTTCTCACTGGTGACAGATGAAAACGCATACCCCCAGAGGGGAGGTCAGGCAGGTTATCTATCAGGCACGTGAGATCCTCTATTGGGGTCGCTCGAGTCTTTAGTGTTCTCTGAGCAGTCGTCGCGAAGAAATCGTTAAGTTCGTCCGGATCAAACCGCAGGGCCTTGCACTTGGCTTTAACACTCTGTGGATGACTTTCCAAACCTCGCGCGACTTATTTGAATAGAGAGCTTTTTCAATGAATGCCTTCCGAGCAGTTCTTATTGCCGACTTTAATTTATTCCTGACCGAATGAAACTCATGCCGAGCGGCATCAGTGCTGGTCTGGTGAGCAGTAAATCTAACAGAACCCCGTTTCTTCAGGAGTTCCTCTGTCAGTGGGTCCTTCATCCATGGGGCGGGTGGTCGCGTGACACGAACCTTCCGCAAGGGGAGTGTCTCTCAAGACACTCGGAAATTAGTGTATTCAGTGTCTCTAGTTGTTCGTCTGGATCATCTGAGTAGTATATAACAGACAGAGGAAGAGTAGAAAAGTCTTCTTTAAACACGTCCTTGTTAAAGTTCCTAATGTCCCTGATAAATTTATAACAAGGCTGGAACCGAGGGAGCCGTACATTGACGCATGCGTAGATGGCATCGTGGTCACTTAGAATAGAGCATGGAATTATACCAGTGTTGGTCACCTTTTGCTGATGGTTGGTGATAAAGTGATCAACTAGGGTTTTGGAGGTCTTCGTAGTACGTGTGGGCCGTTTCACAACCTGTGTAAGCTCAAACATATCCAGTATACCTTGATACCTTTGTGCTAGATGGTCAGAAGGACGAAGAACATCGATATTGATGTCTCCTGTAAGCATTAACATGCCATCCCAGCATACAGTTAGGTATCCAAGTAAGTTCTCTAAACTATTTAGCCAATCAGAAGGGCTGAGCATGCGCTCGGAATTATAGATCACACCTACAAGAGCCCTACCATACTTATTGCGGCCAGGCACCGCTATCCATAGGTGTTCAAGTTCTGGGTGGGCATATTCAATGTCACGACGGCGCTTATAATTGATATTTTCCTTAATATAAACACCAACACCACCTCCCCTTATACCTTCCCTGTTCTGGAATTCCGTAACAAAGCCAGGGATAGAAACATAGTCTAATAATTGCGGTTGATCTCTAAGCCAGGTTTCCCTCAATGCTACAATGTCCAAGTCTAATAATTGCGGTTGATCTCTAAGCCAGGTTTCCCTCAATGCTACAATGTCCAGTGGATATGAATTGACAGTGAGTAAAAGCTCATTAAATGTCGAAACCATGGACTGAGTATTAAGATGCATTATTTTTAACTGGCCTGAGTTAAAGCAGAGCGGATGAATATTAAGGCCAGGATCAAGAGATACCGACAAATCGAGCGTATCATCCAGCATTTCCGCGTCAGAGCACTTGTAAAAGGGCAGGGCAAATCCCAGACAGTTACTGCATAACCAGGTAGAGGAGGGGGCTGTCAGGCCGGAACATTTTAGGTGGAAAGACCCAATAAAAGCACAGCAAGTTATGCTTGCTTGTTTTCTTCTTATCATCTTCTCACTGCAATCACATTTCATTATTTTTCGCTTGGAATTTGTTTTTTGTTTTGACTTCTGGGTGCTTGATGTCGCTGTTTGTACTGGGCCCGGGTTCACAGAAATATCACCACTCAGGATCAATAGCCCTTGCGTCGCAATGGAGTTGCTGTAATAAGAACTGGCGTTTTGTAATATCGCGGACGCTTGTGCCTTTGTTTACATCGATGAGAGCTGGACCATATAGAATCCATTGTAGCGAGGGCGAGACAATTTGTTCCAGACCATAAACGACTATCCCTTGGGACACCGCAGTTTAGCCATATCCAAATGTCGAAAGACCAATGTTCATATACCCAAGCTCGAGCTGAGAAATATCCTTGCTTCGTATAGTCACTTGAACCAAGACCATGCCAAGAAAATTGTACTATTGGCAAGTGCATCGACTTATAAAACACCGGAACAAATTTCAGCGCCGTAGAATGGATATTTAAAAGGAAAATAAGACATAACACGGAGACTAAAAATCCGTGTCTAAACGCCATCATTGACACAGAGCGACTTTCAATCATCCACCGGGTAGAGATTTATACACGGCGGGATCTCGTTATCCAACCCTCGAACAACTGGAGCCAGATCTTTCAACGAGGTAGAGTATAACAGGGTAATTTAGTATTGTCAACTAAGTTGATAACGTAAATTGGCCATCGTAAAGGGTTTAAAAGCTGACGTTTCGTGCGTTAGCCCTTCATCAGAGCGATTAGAGGAATTGTGGGTTGTGTGGGTTTATATGCAGAAAATGGAACTACGCTATTGGTGGGAATATGGTGACGAGGAAACAAGAATAAATTAATTGAATAAAAATCACTCGTTGATACCGTAGGGATCCGTGGGTATCCCGACTCGGCACTCTTAATTCCTACGTTATCAACTCACACCACCGTAAAGAGATGAAAAGCTGACGTTTAGAGCTTTAGCCCCTCGTCAGAGCGATTGGAGGAATTGTGGGTTGTATGTGGGTTTATATGCATATATTCACAAGTATCCGTTGATT